AACACATTCCCTGTGTGATACAGCCTTGGCACAGATGGATGATGTAAGTGATTATTTGTGTTTGCATTTTGCTAGTGATATAGTCATTATTTGCAATGCTTGTACACCTTGTACAAAGTACAAATATATGAGAAAAACTGTAGAGCAACTATTTTCTCCCTAATATGATCTGAGGAAAATGTGCATTGCTATCCAAATGTCAGTTTCATTCATCCATACCAGTCAATATGTATACACCCAGATTTCCCTCTTTAAATGTAATTCTATTTTATAATTTATTTTATTTTTACTTTGGTTTCGATTTTAAATACACTAACAAGCAAAGAAACCTGTCTCCCCAGCTAATACTTTCAACCCGGAAGCGAATTAAATGGTGTCTCTGACACGAATGGGATGGGAGCAAAGAAACTACTTCTTTAAGTTTATTTATTTTAGGAAACTATCTAAGCCACAGCATTGGTCTGACAGAGCCTTTCTTGATTCTATAAACTCAGAGCCCAATTGCAGAACCCTTGCACAGGGCAAAAAATGTTCTAGGATCAATTTCTAGGAGTTCAAGTTCCAGAGCAGTGGAGAAAAGCTCCTGTCTGAAACTATGGATAGATGCTGCCTCTCGTTCTCATTCTCATGATTTGATGGTTCCACATTCTCATGGCATAAGCCAGTTTCCTACATTCCAAAATGTTAAATGTTATCATGTTAAAACCGACTCATTCATGTAATCAATAGGTGTGGTCTTAATTTGTGTTACAGTTTGTTTCAAAGCATGAAAGATAATGCTGCAAGGTCATGCTTTCAGAGTCTTTGCCATTTCATAACTAGAAAGTGACATAGATAATTTATAACCCTTAAATGCATTATTATAAATTTCCAAATGATTAGACTATACATTAAATTACCTTTATTTTATTTTATAAAAGAAATATGTATGTATGTGCGTGTGTGTGTATATATATGTGTGTATATACGGTATGTACGTACGATTACTATTCTACCCACTAGGCCTAATCCAGAGAGGGAATCCAACTCTAAATTCAGGATTCCAAATAATAAAACCATCTATCCGGAAGGGGGAAATTATTCACCCGTGACAAGCCAATTGTAAACAATCCCCACCCACACCTCCCCTAGCAACTGTAACATCTGGATGGTACTTTCTGTATTCACATGCATAAGTTAAGCATCATGATATTCACTGGGGCTTACTCCCAGATAAGTGTACCTAATATTGTACACATTCATTTACTGCTATTAAATTGCTCTGAAGTAGGAATAGTCCATTTTGGCTTGAATTAACTATTAGGATTTTATTTACCCGCAAATTTGACATACCATAACACATTATTGCATAATAGTTGGCGTTATCACTGAATCTTGCTGCATAATACTGGCATCTTTCTTTTCGTAAATTGCAAGTAATGCACTGCTTTGTTGTAGGGTTTCTTCCAATATTAATTCTGTAAAAGAGGCAGATTTAGAGAAAAAAAATCAATCTATATCTAGAACAGAGTTCCCCAATCCTTCTGACTTTGTGGATCAACGCGGGGGCAGGGGGAGAGTGGATGGTTCTGTGTGAGAGGCAGGCAAGCAGCATGTGTTCATGTGCGGGCAGCTCCATTTGCGTGAGCGGGAGGCATGTGAGCCTGCTGCTTGCGCAAATGGAGCACGCATGCATATGCTTGCCTGCTGCTCGCGCAAGAGGAGAGGCACATCTGTGTGCTAACTCACCGGTTCGGGCAGCCCGGTTTTGAACAGCTAATGGCCCGATAGTGGGCCATGGCCTGGGGATTGGGGACCCCTGATCTAGAAAGGTGTTCCCAATCTCTATCAGTCTTTTCTGATGTTTCCTTACTATAGGGAATGTGGATTTGGGATATGATGTTCATGTGGACTAGTATGTTAAAAGCTTCTCTCTTTTTTTACCAAAATATACTGCTCAAAAAAATAAAGGGAACATTTTACCATGGAACTGAAGGGGTTTGCGTTCCCTTTATTTTTGTGAGCAGTATATAATCACTTTATTTGGAGTACTGGCCAGTATGCCTCCAATATGTCTAATATTACAGTATTAGATTCACCTTAATTCTCTTTATGTATAAGAAATATGGAATAGTGATTATTCCTTGCAATTATGACCCAAAGTAACTACATAGTTTTGATGAAGTTGGTGAATTGTACTCACTAACTTGAAGTACTTTTTACTTTTTTACACTTAATAGTAATGTTTCTATTGCAGAAGTTTTCATAGCAACTTACTTGTAAATGTTTCTTCTTCCTGGGTAACCTTCAAATTCATTGCTTGAATAAAATCTGGAAGGCAACATCCATTAGCAAATAAATTATGCATTCATTATGGAATGAAATTATAAAATGTTACTTATTATGAAGGATTCGTAAGAAAATACTCAAAGAACATGAAAAGTTCCAGCCAGTCAGCAAATTCCCCTTCTTCCTAGATTCTTGTTTTTCCCAAAGCATTAGCCATTGTTGCCTACTAAGTGAGGTTTGATTTACTTTCCTGCACAATTCTTTTGTTTTCTTGTAAAACTTTGGATTTGTCAGCCCTTTGAAGTAGACAGGTTAGGAAACAGACACTGTAAGAACAAGGATGTAATAACAGAATTTTGAAAGCCTAATAGAGATTCTTGGTCCTCCTTTTCCTCTGATATCAAAGAGAATCAAGGCAGGGAAATCTTGAATTCTTTCTCACCCTTTCCTTCCTGTCAGACTAAGCTGGTGCTTAACCAACAGCTGCTGAATTCCTTCTTCAAGGCTACCTCCATATTCCTGTACAGCAGCGGTTCTCAACCTATGGGTCGCGACCTCATTTGGGGTCGATCGACCATTTCACGGGGGTCGCCAAGCAAGGCTGTCCGCCATTTTTTCCCCTTTTCCAGCGGGTGCCTTACCTCCCTTGAGCTGGGTCAGCTGGTGGTCAGCCTGCTCCATCTCTGCCGCTTGCCAGCTATGCCTCGGCCGGCGCAGGGGGCGTAACCACACATGCGCAGCGCTCCCGGGCAGGGAAAGTCCTCGACTTACGACCGGTTGGGTAGTCCTCGACTTACGACCGGTTTAGTCCTCGACTTACAACCGGTTTAGTCCTCGACGTACGACCGGTTTAGTCCTCGACTTACGACCGGTTGGGGGTCGCGGCATTAAAAAGGTTGAGAACCACTGCTGTACAGGATTCCCTGAAGCTGCTACCTTCATTTTTTTGTGTGAGAGGTATCATTTGGCTATGTAAAAGATCCACATTCAGAAAATAAGTTTGCTATAAATATTTTATTAGGCTATTGGAGAAATGGACAATGGATTTTTCCAGAAACCCTAGAAGCTGTCTGCTGTTTTTGAAATCTGTACCTTGTTTTTTGGCTCTGATACAGAGGAAGAAACTAAATGCACTATTTCATTTCATTTTATTTTTTTGCAATGTTTACAGAAAAAGGGAGCTTGGAAATCTCTCTCTTTTCCAGTATATATGAAGAACATTTGCAGGAATTGGGCATGTCTAGTTTGATGAAAAGAAGGATTAGGGGTGATAGGATAGTAGTATTCCAATATCTAAGGGGCTGCCACAAAGAAGAGGGAGTCAAGCTATTCTCCAAAACACCTGAGGCCAGGACAAGAAGCAAGAAACTGATCAAAGAGAGAAGCAACCTAGAACTAAGGAGAAACTTCCTGACAGTTAGAACAATTAATCAATGGAGTGACTTGCCTCCAGAAGTTGTGGGGCTTCAACACTGGAGAGATTGGACAATAATTTGTCTGAAATGTTACGGAGTTTCCTGCTTGAGCAGAGGGTTAGACTTGAAGACCTCTAAGGTCCCTTCCAACTCAGTTATTCTGTTATTTTTGCATGTAATACATGTATGCATGTTTCTTTTTAAGGGAAATAATTACACTGCTCGTAAAGTTATTTTATGCCATTGAACAATCCAATATATAATTATTCAAAAATAAATGTTGCTGTATTATTTTGGGCATATACACATACACAGACATCTGTATTATGAATTCCTATTCATTCAGAGACAAATTTAGGTTTCTATATTACACTCGACCATGGCTTGATTTATCAGTTTTCCAAATAAGCCAATATCGGCTGAATCTTGCTAAGTCAGAAGCTAAGGCTAAGATCAAATAACTGAGGTCTCTCTGCTTTAGTTTTTAACTAGATCAATATAATAATAATAATAATAATAATAATAATAATAATAATAATAATAATAATAATAATAATAATAATAATAATAATAATAATAATAATAATAATAATAAAAAGTTGGAAGGGACTTTGGAGGTCATCTAGTCCAACTCCCTGCTCAGGCAGGAAACCCTATACCATTTCAGATAAATGGCTGTCCAGTCTCTTCTTAAAAACTTCCAGTGTTGGAGCATTCACCACTTCTGGAGGCAGGTTGTTCCACTGGTTAATTGTTCTAACTGTCAGGAAGTTTCTCCTTAGTTCTAGGTTGCTTCTCTCCTTGATTAGCGAGCCTTCATGGCATGGAGCTCCACATCCTTCTCCGAAAGTCTTGTTTTCTACAAAAACTGATTACAAAAAAAAAAAAGGAGAAAAATGGGGCTGGGTTTCATTCAGTAAACAGTGGGACAATTTGATTATTGCTTCTTTATAGATGCTTTGTGTTCAAAGTCACATGGGCTTCCCAATAGATTGAAATTCGCTATTATGCCCGAATGAGTAAACAATGCAGAGCAAAGTAATACAACATATAATAGTGTTTATATTCTTGATTAAGATTCTATTAGACGCTTCTAGTCATGTCCAATGTTTATGACTGGATGCACAAGTTCAGGGAGGGGGAAATTCCATAATTGTTGAGGGGAATCCATTGTAACTAGTCATAGGGAATGACTCTCCAAGACCTTTAAAAATGGGGTTCAGCTGCAAGGCTAATGGAAAAATCATTCTTGCATTCTTGCATATAATTTTCATTGACAGGTAACATAACCAACATACTGTGGATATGGGATACTTACATTGCATCATCTGTTACTCTATAAATATATATGGCCTCCCACTCACCACTGGTGATCTGGATTGCCTTTTCCTACAAAAACAACATATTTAAAGTCATATACTTCATTCCGCAGCACATCTCTTGCAACATAGGTGAACTTTAGATTAATTCTTTGGTTGACCTACCACTGAGTCTTTGATGTAATGAATGTGTTTATAACCATTCTGGTCGCTAAAAATTTTATAGTATGATATGGCATCTGAAGTAAAATAGGGTGCTGAAACAAAGAACTGAGAGACAATAATAAACTGTAGGTGAAACAGAAATTAAAATTTTTGAGAAGTGAATGAAAATTAGGCAAACTATAGTAAATATATTTTATACTACATATTTTACTGTATAAAACTTTACTATTTTATGTATTTATTAAAAATTTACTATTTACTAAATATATTTTACTATATTTGCTATAGTAAAGCTTTCTGACGTTACTATTTTTTCCCCTACCCCATTGTGGAACATATTTCATACTGCAGTGAAATCACATTCATTAAGGATTTACAATGTAACCAACATTTTTACTTGAAGGTAAGACCCAGCAGGTTCTCAAAATGATAATGATGTCTATGGCATCCCCCTCCCCAAAATAAATTAAATCGAAAAAAACAAATAAACAATGATAACACCAAAAGGGGAAAGAGCATAGAAGCCATACTCCACCAGTCCATCCTGTATGGCTCTCTTCTATGTGTTGCCGATTCTGTCAAATCAAAGAAAGTAACAAGGTTGAGATGTAAAACAGAAATCTGACATATTAATGCTATAGAATTTTCAATCAGACAGAAAAATGAGAAAATGAGGACCTATCAAACACAGGTTACTTTCTCAGTAATTATTTGTAGCATCCTCTAATGCCATCATTGTATCAGCACAGCAATGGTCATTGGATAGCAAATCTTTGCGCTTAATACCAGAATATTCAATGATAGTCTAAAAGCATCTTATGAACAATTCACTTTCCAAATATTTTAACAAAGCTTTCAAAGCAAAACTTTAGGTTACGGATGCCTCTTCCTTTGAAGTATTTCTTTGTAAAATTCATTTCATTAGACTAAATTAAAATATTTAATATATTTACCTATATAGTATGGCTGTAATATTATCATTTTTTAGACTTCTTATTATCTTTTTTACCCCTATTATTATTATTATTATTATTATTATTATTATTATTATTATTATTATTATTATTATTTTACTTCATGTATACTGTGTGCTTTTGTATTAGACACAGATTCCTTGTGTGTTTAATCACACTTGGCCAAATAAAGTATTCAATTCAATTCAATAAACTCAAATGATAGATGCACAAACTTTTGTAGGATTCTGTAAGAATCTTGTTTAGAAACTTGACAGAGTGTAGCATGATTTATCAAGGTTGCAAGAATCTGGATGAGCATTAGATGGCAGCAAAAAATTCCAACCTTACTGCCATTGAGTGTTCATGCAGAATTTTTAACCCAGATATGGTAGCCTTGAGCAAGGTGACTATTTAAACTTGTATTCAATTTTTATTTATTGGGTGCATTTGCTGATTTGGTGATTTTTAGTATGAAGTTTAGAATCCTCTCTGGATTTGCAGAAAGTATTTCTTATCGTTATTTGCCCACTGCAGCTTTATTATCTCCTAGTATATGAGAGAGTCCACATTGTTTACGCTTTATTACTTCCGGTTTAATCGGAAAACAAAGTATGAAATGGAAATTTATTCCCCTGAGATCTTTTCAGCAAACATAGCTTAATGGAGTTCTCCCATCTGTTCGCACTCCTGTTAACTAACCATTGGTGTGCAGAGTGATACGGTAAAAGCACTTTATAAACAGAAGATAATAGTGGTTTTATCCTCATCTTCCCTTAGGTGAGAACATGCTGAGGCATGCTATTTTTACTGCATTTTGGATCTTCTAGGGCAAAGTTGCTGATCATTTTGGCTCTCTATCACAACTTTTCAGAGGGACAATCTTAAGATGAAATACCTATGTTTTTCATACAGCAACTTGAACTCTAATACTTATTCACACATCATGATAAGACCTAATATGGTTGATTTGAGTTTGGCGTGACCATACTGCTTATAGTTTGTAGCCAATAATATACGACTTAATATGTTTATAAACCAGGCCGCTAAGGATCAGCAGAGCTGCAGTCAAAGGTCAAAATGAAACAGAGGAGAAAAGGCTGTAATAGGGATGAGTAAAAACCAGCTCCATGTTCTCACCATTAATAGGTACTAGCAATATTCTTTCTGGGATCAGATATTCACACGAGACAACTTAGGATCCCACCTTAATTTGAAAGCAATCTTTTTCTCTTTCCTTTTGCACAGTAACTATCCAGTTACAATGAGCGTTTACCAAATTGTTCACTGATAGAGTTTTTACTTTAAATCTTACAATGAGCGTTTACCAAATTGTTCGCTGATAAGAGTTTTTACTTTAAATCTTAGCTTGATGGAAAAATACTACCTCTGGGCAATCCCAAGATCTGGAGTGGTAATTGTAGTCACAGATTGCTGACAGGGAGAAGTTCTGGATTCTTTTCAGCCACTGCACACAGATTCTGTCATCTCTTGCCCAGGTAATCCATGTGACATAGTGATCGCTAAAGAAAAAGGGAAAAGAAGGGAGTCAGTGAGTATAGGAAAAAGACAAGAAGGAAACATACTATTGCATTAATAATATATCTATGACAGGTAAACCAGATTAATAATGTAGATATGATAGACCAGTGGTTCTCAACCTGTGGGTCAGGACCCCATTTGGGGTCGATCGACCATTTCACGGGGGTCGCCAAGCAAGGCTGTCCGCCATTTTTTTTGTCCGCCATTTTTTTTGTCCGCCATTTTTTCCCCTTTTCCGGCGGGTGCCTTACCTCCCTTGGGCTGGGCCAGCTGGTGGTCGGCCTGCTCCGTCTCTGCCGCTTGCCAGCTATGCCTCGGCCGGCGCAGGGGGCGGAACCACGCATGTGCGGTGCTCCCAGGCAGGGAAAGTCCTCGACTTACGACCGGTTGGGTAGTCCTCGACTTACGACCGGTTTAGTCCTCGACTTACGACCGGTTTAGTCCTCAACTTACGACTGGTTTAGTCCTCGACTTACGACCGGTTGGGGTCACGGCATTAAAAAGGTTGAGAACCACTGTGATAGACCATTAAAGCACCCCCCAAATTCTTTGAACAAGTGAACCAGGCTCCTTAGCTCAGCACTCTTGTATTGCTATAACCAAGTGGTTGAAATGGTTTCTAACCTTAATAAGAATTACATTTTATATAGAAAGCAACGTTTCCGGGAAAAATTTCCAAAGTCAAATCATTGAAAACAATTACTATCTGTTGGGGAAAAAAGAGGAAACGATGATTTTAAGAAAATATTACCTTGCTGCTATGACTGGTGGTGCAAGTATTTCCTTCGGTCCAAAATCTCTAGGATTTGTAGTATCTATAATCAACACTCTAACAGTTGGGTTTTTAGCTCCAGCCTTCAAGGAAAAGTAGCAACAAAGTGATTAAGCTAACTTCTAATAACTTTAATTATAGTATTTAAATAAAAGAACTAAGTAAAGTTCTATAGCAGTGATGGCAAACCTTTTAGAGACTGAGTGCCCAAACTGCAACCTAAATCCCACTTATTTATCTCCGGGTGCCAGGTGGGCGTGGCCCACTGGGTGGTCGTAGCAGATTGGGTGGGTGTGGCCAAGATGGGCGTGGTCACCTCAATGTTCCTCATGGGGAGGGACGCCTGTGGGGGGTGGGCAGGGTTGGGGAAGATCCAGGGGGTCTCTGGCAGGTGGGGCGGTAGACAGGAAGCTCATCCTATGGGGTGAAGTGAGGCAGGGCGGGGGTGCCATTGCCATGGGGCAAGACAAGGGCCTGGGTGGCTGCTGCCTGACACCATCAGCCCCCACACACAGAGGCCAGCGAGTGCATGGGGGCTGACGGTGTCCATCAGCAGCCACAGCCTGCCGGCCCCTCGACCGGTGCATTCTGGGGCTCCACAGCCCGCCACCAGCAGTTCAAAGAAGCCACCTCTGAGCTGGATGGCTGGCCAACAGCTGAGGAGGCGATGCAGTGGGTCGTGCCCGGGAAAAGGAGAGCATGCGAGGCCAGGAGGGATGGGACGGGGGGAGGGAAACCAGCCGTGCTGGGATGCATCTGGCCATGTGGGACCTCGGTGAGTTAGCAGGCAGCTGGTTGAAGAGGGACAGTTGCCATCTCCAGGGCATGGCGCGCATGCCCACGGAGAGGGCTCTGAGTGCCGCCTCTGGCACGTGTGCCATAGGTTCGCCACCACTGTTCTATAGATTAAAGTTATTTTATTCATTTCAGGCACACATAGGGTCCTTTCCATTTCCAGACAATTTTGAATCCTGGTGAAAATGCATCTTACCTAGAAATTTATTTTGAGAAGTTCACAGTAGACTGGCACTCATTAACCCAGCCAGTTGTAAACACTAAACATATAAACATTATAATCTCAAGGGAGAAGTCTTCTACTCCATTGCCTTCAAAAGTATCAGAAGATGTTTAAGATCTGCTACCTCAGATTCTATCCTCTTCCTTCTAGGTCAGCTGCCACCTTGAACATTACTAAGTATTTTCAATAGGAGGTATATGTGAAGGCAGTGGTGGGATTCAAATATGTGAACTGTGTGGATGCCACTTCCAGAAGTCCATTCTGGGCCTGGGCAACAAAAAATTAGCTACCGGTTCTGCCGAAGTGGTGTGAACCGGCTGAACCCCACCACTGTGTGAAGGGAAATGATTAGGCCTTTCAGAATGTTACTGTAGTACCTTGGTACTCAGTTCCTTTGAAACTCATTGAATTTGAAACTCATACTCAACACATTTTGACATAAAAATTTGTCCCAGTACTCATCTTTTGTTTGGTATTCAACATACAAGCTAGACCATATCAGTGTTGGCTGCCTTGTGACTCATACATTATACCTTATTGGGAAAATTTGTTTGGTACTCATTGTTTTTGGTATTCATCGCACCTCCTGGAACCAATTAATGATAGTACCCAGTTACCACTGTATTCTAATAATACAGGATACACAAGCTGGATTTCTATTTAGGATAAACATAAGCTACTCTTATCGCTGTCCTAAAGGTTGTATTTATTTTAGATTTGTATTGGTTTTTTTCCACCAAAAGCTACAAGCAGAGGCTCATGACATTATGACAGCACCAAAGGGAGAACTCTTCCCATTCTGTTTTCATTTTGGAGGGGTAGGGGGTTATGTTTTATAGGTGCATTAAACTAACTGCAAAGGTAATGCATCTATTTTATTTCATTTTCTACAGAAAACAAGCAGGAATCACATTTTACAATTTGCTGGTTGGCTGTCATACTTCAGGAATGTGATCTTGAGTGGGGGAAGCTATAGGATTGAGACTCTTGGGCTTCAAGTCACCCACTCCCTTTTAAAAAGCTTTTCAATTATACTACTTAGTGGGTTTTTTTTTAAAAAAAGTCAGTAGTTACATTTGATTTAGCTATTTAATGTTCGAATATACAACAGAGCCGAGTTTAATGCTAAAAGGAAAATAAATAAACAAGCACATCTACCTTTGGATATGGAAGAGTTATTTTTCTAGGATATTGATTCTTGCCATAATATGAATATTCAATAGCTGGTATTTCAGTATCATTGAACTCTATGTATGCTATGTTCTTGCCATTTGGTGACCACCACAGAGCATATTTTGTTGCAAGCATTTCTTCTAAAAGAAACCACGTTAAAGGACATTGTTGTTTGGTTGCAAAATTGTACAATATACTACAGGATGTAGTGCTATCTTTAAAACCATGCCAGTATTTTGAACTACCTCCATAACTGTAAAACCATTAATCTGACAGATCACCAGGCAGTTTTGGGGTAGTTGAGGAAGAGAAAGCAGAATCACAGAGAAGTAACTATGAAATGCTGGAAAGGGAGAAAAATCATAGCAGAGAACTATCAGCTCATTTGTGGGAAAGCTGGTCAAAAGCCAAAACCTAACAGTTGTCTTAGAATGGTTGGACAGATTTGAGGGCAAGAAGTGAACAGTTTTTCATTTTTTGTGTGTCTTCTAATCCAGGTGAATATCGATCTAAAGATGTAAATAACCCAGAATAAAATGATTTCACTGAACTGCTTCACAGAAATGAAGGCTGGCATCCAATTAATAAGCACAGGGGGAATAAATAGCACAAAAGTGCCTTGGTTGTAATCACACTTTCCAGAGGGCTATAAATGGGAAAATATCTCTCTTTTCTTCTAGGTGTTTGTGGCTCATGATTGTGTTACAAGTGCCATAGATAATGCACATATTCATTCTCATGAGTTCAATGAGCAATAACAATATTCTGAATAGCTCTCACCATGTGGTGCCTTGCTGATGGAAGTGTAGATCTTATCCTAGTTTCACTAAGGGTTATTTATTTATTTATTTTGGTCTTTATTGTCAGATTTCCTGGGGAAGCAAGTTACAGTAAGACCATAATTCTTCATCTTTACAATTTCTTGTTGAATTTATATGAATTCACTAACTGTGTCACATCTTACCTCCATCTTTGCACACAGATATTGAGTGGTGGGGGAAGGGGAGGGAAATTCATTGATTTTATATATGATCAAAACTGAATTTACACTTTCCAAACTAATACGTAATATGGAACAAAAGTATATTGATACATACATGCACACACACACACATACACAAATGGTGTATGAATTTTCATTCAGATTCTTTTAACTTAAAAAGCTCCAACCAAGTTAAGCCTTTCTTGTGTCTAGGAAGGTCTCTCCAATCTCCATTCCTAGAAACTCTTAGAGATTAGGCTTGGTCCAAGGCCACTAGTTGCTGATTCCTAAAACAGTTACTTTGTTCAGTAATCTAACATGTTAACTTTCAAAACATACTGAGTAGGGTCAGCCCTTGGCCCTACATAGACTCAAAAGGAATGAGGTGAAGCAGGGATTCTCTTTGAAGAAAGGAATGCTCCCCCATGTCTATAATGGGATTGTTCCAGGCGACTTCTTGTCTCATAAGAGGATACTTTTTGCAAGGAGCCATGAAAAAGAAATAATCTCCTCTCCCTTCCAAGAATGGAAGCAAGCAATGAGTAGAGTTCTACCTACTTCAGGCCTGGAGCTATTCCACTGATTTCTCCAGGTTTTCAGAATTTACTTCTCACCTCTCTAATGCAATTTTGTATTTAGTTCATAACTGCGCCTTTTTATTCTATTCTCTTTGATCAACACGGTCTTTTAGAAAGAAAACTACAACAAACTGTCTCCTAATAATGCAGATACACAAGATGCAAAAGTCTCTTAAACTAAATACAAAAATAATTTTACAACTAACATCTGATGAAGCCTATTTTGAGACAAAGTATTTTTTTCCCACAAGGAGGAAAAATGATATGACAGGAAAATATGAAAAATGGAAGAGACAGGATGTTGAGCAACTGTAGACTTTGTGGAAAATATTAACACAACAATAAGTTATAAAGAACAGATTTTGGCTCTTGTTTGGGGGCACTGCATTACTTTATTGCTCAAGTCTTATCATGCTAAGTCATAACACTGCTTTTAAAAGGCAATTTACCTTCATAAACCCAGTCAGGAATTCCGTTAAATATTTCATTCCAGTAACCATTTGTGGTTATTTGAATAGCAGCTTCTCTGGGATCTTGTTTGAAATAGATATTATTCTGGTAAACATAAGCCTAGAAGGAGGGGGAAAATAAATTTCTTTATCTGTATAAGGTACAAATGATTTATGCAATCCAAAAATACTATATAGCATTGCTAAATATGGGACTCACTTCAAAATCATTCCTTACAAACATTTATCTTTGCAGAAGGAAAGTGTTCCAGTTTTACTTTCCAGGCCACAGAGAAGAATCTCTGGAGAATCATGCACTGAAAAGTAGGGAGGTGTAGGCTGGTTCTTTGAGTGAAGCCTAACAGCTTCCTATGATATTAGCAATGCTTTGCATGCGTGTTATATATGTTCATGTCCATCCCATAATAATACATTACTTAATAAGCCTTCCACTTTCCAAACATGTTAGACTACAACTCCTATCACCTCAGCCATCATGACCAAAAGCTTTATGAGGGACGATGAAGTTTTAGTCCAACACATGCAGAGAGCATGAGGCTGGAGAAGACTGATTATGCCACAAGAATGCCTTAGATAAGAGATAAGAAGTTCTTCTTGCTATGTTCTGAAGCTGTAGGGAAGTCATATTTTACAAGATATGAATAAAAGGAGATAACCATACTTTATCTCCTCCTCTTATTTACTCTAGAATTTCCCTGGCAGATGTATGCAAAAAGTTGGAAAAGCAATGAAATGCTTACAACGAAAGACTGGATCATAAAATTAATTGAACTTGCAGAAATGGTGAAGCCAATCAGTTTAGTCAGAGAAAAAATATCAGTGATTTTTTTTTAAAAAAAGACTAGAACCCTTATATAGATGATTGCAGGATCCGAGGATTAAAAATGAGATGAAAAGGCTGGAGAAAAAATTAAGATGACAATTACAGCATCCACTGGAGTTGGGGAGGGGCGATATATTTAAAGTAATAAAGAACTCGATGAGTATGAAGACCAACACCAGCTAAAGAACTGTGATTTCACATTTTGTGTCTATAATAATAAAATAATATTCAATAGGAAAAAGAGTAGAAGGCACATTTTTTTCAACTTCTTTCTTTCTCATTTCTCCTACAGGAACAGTCTTAATCTAATTTTGTGCTGTGTTGACCTATGTTTCTACTTATTGAGGGCAATCAGCTGATATCATAGTTCCAAATGGGTTTGCAGCCCATTTGACCTTGTCTAGATGGACTAACTTAAGAATAGTGACTTAAGATCTGCTAGATCAGTGGTTCTCAACCTTTTTAATGCCGCGACCCCAACCGGTTGTAAGTCGAGGACTAAACCGGTCATAAGTCGAGGACTAAACCGGTCGTAAGTTGAGGACTAAACCGGTTGTAAGTCGAGGACTACCCAACCGGTCGTAAGTCGAGGACTTTCCCTGCCCGGGAGCGCCGCACATGTGTGGTTCTGCCCCCTGTGCCGGCCGAGGCGTAGCTGGCAAGCGGCAGAAACGGAGCAGGCCGACCACCAGCTGGCCCAGCCCAAGGGAGGTAAGGCACCCACCGGAAAAGGGGAAAAAAATGGACAAAAAAAATGGTGGACAAAAAAAATGGCGGACAGCCTTGCTTGGCGACCCCCATGAAATGGTCGATCGACCCCAAGTGGGGTCCCGACCCACAGGTTGAGAACCACTGTGCTAGATGGAGAGAAGATGGAGAGGTCTACAGGAACATAGCCAGAAATCCAACTTCTGAGTTTCTGTATTTGGTATATCTAACTTTAGACAAGCAAAAGTGTGTCTCCCTAGAACAAGCAATAACAGATCCATCCTGAAGTGCATACTTTCTCTTAAAGCACAGTTCTAACATAGCATCTAGCTCTGTCTACTAATAGTGCTATTGTCAATATTTAAAATTCTTAAGCATTCTTGATAAACAGAAATAAGTGATGCCTGAAAAAACACTGAAGGCACATCAGACTCAACCAGAAGGAATATTATTGTGACACTGCATTAATTACTGACCAATTTGTGTCCAACAGGTGACCAGGAGATATGCTGGATATTATGTGGTAGCTCATATTCTTTGACAAAAACACTACAATGGGAAAAAAAAATCATGGAATGACATAGTGTTTTCTTAATTCATATTTCTAATTAATTATGCAGTGTTTACATGAAATTTAAAACTTGTACTTTTAGGAAAGTTGATGAATGCTCCCCTAAACATTCTGTATTGTTCATTCTTTATTGGTGAGCATATCTGTTGAAATGATATTTTGATTATGTTGATACAGACTGTTAGAATTTGAACTTTTTGATATCCAAAATACTTTGGGATTATTATTCTATTTAGTAGGAAACCACAAAGGAAATAAAAGGTGCTATAAAAGTCTATAAGAAGCCCACAAACAAGACACAAGTAGAATGACACATTCTGTAGACATTTTCCAGTTACAGCTATTGAACCATACATTCAGTGCTTTTTTTTCTAAAAAAAATAATAAATAGGTGCCGGAACTCACACATGTCATACCACCCGCCTTGCCTACCCTACAAGGTTCCATCCAAAAAAGGTGCCGGAACTCCGTTCTGGGCGTTCTATGAGAAAAAAAGCCCTGCATTTATTTATTTAAGAAAATTGATATGAGGGTTTCTTGGTCTTGTTTAAACTCTTGGTTCTTTTCTTGCAGACATTTCATTACTCAAACTAGTTAACATCATCAGTGCTAGTGGGAAGTCCTTACCAAACCATTAGTTCATTAGTTCTGAATTCTGACAACAATGTTAGGTCCAGCCCAGTGAAGACTGTCTTTAAGTGACTGATAAACAGTTTAAAAGGAGAACAAAATGAAGCACTCCAGTAGATGTTTGGGAATATCACTAGAGATAACAACTCTGTTGGAAATCTATTTTCTTAAATGACTTATTGGATCTCAAAAAGAACATCACATCAACTTAAACGTTACTAAAATTTTAATCAACAGGAAAATAAATCTGTCTTACCCTAATATAAGATCATAAATGTGATAGGATGCTGTGTAAGAATACCTCCAAAGCTGAAAAGATTACAATGGGGAGAGAGAAATCATTATTTTTGCTAAATGTAAAAAAAGTTTATCTAATCTTCATCAGGCTTTCTCCTGAGGTCGTCATTCCACTCACTATCTCAGTTTTATTAAAGACAATGCAATCAGGTAAGCAATTTTCATAAAAACTCTGTGAGGATCCACCGTGGTACTAACTTAGGAGCAGTCATCACTATTTTTCAGTCATGAAGAAGCTTTTCAAAATGCTTTTTGCTGATGTAAAGAGCATCTCCAGAAAAGGAACCAATTTCTCATTTTGTGATTTAGACATTGAACAGCATTATGATTATGGAATCTTGATGGGCATGACAATATACTGTATATGGTTAGCTATTCTTAAATGTTGTGTGGCTGCCATGGAATTTTATCATTACTTGGAAGGTTTTTCAAATGTGGCACATAATAAGATGCTTGTAAGAGGAGTGGCAGCCTCTGGGGGTGGAGTCAAAAGAGGGATCAGCCTAGAATCTCTATGTAGCTACAGCCAAACTAAGCCGAACCTCCCTTGATTACATTAACCTTCAACTAACTCCAAGCAGCTGCTAACCGTTAATTAAGAAGATTCCTGTGTGCAACATTATTAGCAGTAAATCAATTTAATTGGAACTTGTGTGGACCTAGTCTTTCATGCCTACATACTGTACATTCTAATGTGTAATGACCCCGTGCAAGTACCCATGCAAGTGGTAAAAGAATAAAAGTGAACACATGCAAATAAACGCTATTTTCACCATGCCATCCCTCTCAGCATCATGACCCACGCCCTGTGGAGAGGAAGGTTCTGTTTCTGTTCCCATTTTCCTGAACACAAATCCAAACGCAGTCAGAAGTCTGCTTTCTTGGACATAAAAATGAAGTGCCCTTTATATCTTATGTGTTAATATGGCATAAATGTGAAGTGATCAGGTAGGGATAGGACACTGGAAGCAAGGTTTGTGTCCATGTGTGTCCATGAATGTGTGCACTTTGGCCCTTTCTCCCCATCCTTTAGCCAAGCTGAATTTATTTATTTAAAAATTATTTATTTATTACATTTGTATGCTGCTCATCTCACTGTCCCGAATAAACGCTTGCACAAAGCTAATGAAATCTTCTGGGTGACACATAATGCTGTTTAATTTCCACAGTGGCTGCTCTCTGGGTACATAACTTGCAAGGGGACAAAAGAACAAGACAGGGTTTCTAGTAAAATCAATTAATTCTCTTACCAAATTAATGATGGAGCCACGGGTCTAGCTTTCCTCTCCATTCAATTCATCTCTTAAGAGCTTATCTACCTATCCCTCAGGCCCTAGGAAATATCCTCAAGATTAGAAGACAGTGCACAAGAGCCAATCTGGCAGGGATGAAGGGCTGATTGTTTACCCAAAGCAAAATATGAGAAATTTCTACCGTCTACTTTGCAGTAATGATTGTTTTATTATGGAGACTAAGATTGAAAGGATGATGAATGAATAAATTAAGGCCTTGCTTCAACTTCCTTTCCCAATGAATTCCTTCAATAAATTTTTGTTAATGCCCTGAATGTAATAAAATACCAATCCCAACTTTTTTTTTAAAAAAAAAAATTACCTTAGAATAATTGCTTTCCAATAGTATAAAATTCTGATCTGCAGACATTGCATAATTTGTGGCATTCACTTCTTTCTGAAAGATTAAAGCATCAAATAGTAGCCAATACACAACCATCACTTAGATAAATTACGGTAACTCATCAATTTTGAAATAGCAGCCATACATACAACAGTGCTATTTTTCAAGATAGTGATCGACTGCCCTGATTCGACATTGTGAAGGATGACATCATCTTTAGATTGATGAAGATATTCCTTTCCTTAAATGGAAACAGAAATGGGATTGTTCAATAAGTTTCATGGAAATGCTATCTTGTTGCATATCTCAGGCAATCATGCATTTAATTGCTTATTCAAAACTATAGGCAAGGAATTTTAATGTAAGTAAAAAGGAGGAAAGGTAAAAGTTAAAAAATGGTGCTTTGATTTTGTAATTCTGAACAGGCAAAAAATGACATCAAAACTGAGAAAAATCAAATATATGCAGAGATAAAAAAAATCTCAAATGCTCTTGGTAGAGATAGGGAATAAATTGATTCAGCTCACAACTGAAGGTAAATTTTGCTCTAACTTACACCTAAACTTTTAAAATTTGATTGATGTCCCATTTTTGTACTAGGGCGAGTACTTGATTATTATTAATGTTTCTTTAATATTTTGCATTATATATGAAATGTGAATCCCAGGCATATTCATATTAAGAGGAGGGGCCAATTACGCGCTCAATGAGCAGAGCGCAAAAACAACTAGGTTTATAAGCAGACTCTCTAAACTTCCAGCTTTTACTCTCTCTCTATATATATATGAAAAAATCTACATAAAAATACATATGAAATACATGAAAAAATCTACATAAAAATACATATGAAATACATGAAAACAATGTATAACTTTTATATTGGGGCTTTTTAAAATAAAAACTGAATATTCATCTAAATTGCAAGTCCATTAAAATATGTACCAAATGCATAACATATGACAGTTTTAACTTTATGCATTCACAAAAATAAAACAGAACATAAATTGACACATCATCCCTATTTTTGTCTTCTATAATGTAACTGCTTTATAAAAATAAGCAAAGAAAAAATAATTCATTAGTATCAGGCAATTTGCCTACACCGAAAAAAAATAAACCATGCAAATGATGTTGCTTATTGTTTTAAAAGCCCCAGAGATTATGAAACACTGAATTAGGAATTAAGTTTTTAGACTAATTATTTAGGTTCTGATCAAGTCTAGAAACTCTGTGGTTTTAAATAAAATACTCCAGAGAATGGCAGATTTAGCAGTTTTGGGCACTTGTTAACACTTCTTAGCTGTATACATTTGTACAGTAGAAGAATCATGATTATTCAGGGAAGCAAGATCATCATCATCATCTTCATATCACATGTAAATTGTTTCTCACAAAGAACTTTTGGGTTTTATACACATATGCTGCAATGGTTTTATCTACAATTATCTCGGAAGCAAATCTTACAGATCTTGGATCCTCAATGATTCTTTAATATTACTGCTAATTATCTCAAGTCTTCCAATTCTCTGTACATTTTAAATAGACTAATTGATTTAGTCAATTGTTTGAGTTACCATTAAAAAAATAAAGATTAAAAAAGCGTTCCATGTTCCATCACTGCCCCATATTATCCTGTAATTCCAAATTAATTTCACGTACCTGAAACCCAGTATGGAGAAAAGGTTTTATAATTAAAATCTCCATCTAAATACTCATCCAGTGTAAGTGGTCTGGGATTATTTTGTTTGTGTTCATCTTCAGAAACGAGACAAAGACGATAGATTAACAACAGTTCACACAATACAGAGAAATTGCACCTAGAATGCTTTTTTTTTTTTTTTTTGCTTTTTGAATTGATAGCAATTTCAGGTTCATGGAGGTTATAGTTAAAAATAAATCAAGTAGGAAAAGTATGTAAGATCGAAATGATGCAAGATGTGCGATCCTCAACTCATTTGAAAAATAAGCCTAATTGTTTGAGGGCCACTTATCTTTGATTGGTTTTGCTCAGTAAGATTGGGCAGAATGTATATGCTCTAAGTTGCCTCAATTAAATAATGTCTTTTATCAGAACCTAGGAAGCATGAAGCCTCTCTTATTATACCTTCCCTATGGAATAGCATTCTGCTAGTAGTCTGCTTGGATTTAGCTTCAAAAAGCCTTGGAAGGTTGGCTGGCCACCCAAACCTTGGGGCAGAGTGGTGCTGAGTCCCTTCTTGGTACAGTACATATAATTTTCTGTTCTGGATGTCCATGATCTATTTTTTAAAATTATATTGTTTTCTTATTTTTAAAGGGTAAGCTACTCAGAGATGTTTGGAGTCCGGCAGACTTTAAATTATTTCTGGAATGCTATTTCTGTAAGCTGAATAATGTTGAATACTTAATGTTAAAAAATGCATTTCCAACATTTGGTAAAGATGATTTTTAGCATGTGAATGGCAAGCACTCAAGGCTAATAGCATGAAACTTTTACAATGTGCACGCCACTAGCAACATGAAACTTTGGCTCGTGCATTTCAAATAGTGGAGAAATGCATGTATTATGGACCTCAACAAAGGTACCCTGAGATTCACATATGTGTTAACATCAGCAGTCAATAGATTCCAGGTGTTCAAAATATTATGGGAAAATCATGACATTATTTTGGCATGGATGAGTATTAGAAAGCCAGATGGAATTCCATTTTTGTTTTTCTTTGCGGAATACTTTTGCTATACTGTAAATATATATAAGAAGATCGAGGAAAGTCACTAATGAACAGTACAGTTGAATAGCCAGAAATCCAGTACTTGCAATTCTTGTAGTTTGACCATGATTGTCCTTGGTTGTACTGTATATATTGTTGTATTTAACTAATACAGTGATGGCAGATAGCTATGCTTTGGGGTTCCTCATTTTCACTTTTTTACAAAAACCACGAGTCATTTTCATAAAGTGGCAAACTCTTGTGAGGGTTGGGGGTGGGTGAGAGTGAAGGATAAACATTGGACAGCAACCCTCTAACCTAAAGTTTCAGAAAGATGCCTGTTTAACTTGAAATTAACCAGGCTAAATACACAANAAACATATAAAAAAATATATATATATATATATATATATATATATATATATATATATATATATATATATATATATATATATATATATATATATGTTTTCTGAGGTTTTCGCGGGTGTTTGTATGTAGGTCTTTGGTCATTTGGGTTCTCTCCCGCGTAAAATTGGAATTCCAATTTTACGCGGGAGAGAACCCGAATGACCAAAGACACACACACACACACACACACACACATATATATATATGAAATGTGAATCCCAGGCATATTCATATTAAGAGGAGGGCCAATTACGCACTCAATGAGCAGAGCGCAAAAACAACTAGATTTATAAGTAGACTCTCTAAACTTCCAGCTTTTACTCTCTCTATATATATATATGAAAAAATCTACATAAAAATACATATACTCATGAAAACAATGTATAACTTTTATATTGGAGCTTTTTAAAATAAAAACTGAATATTCCTCTAAATTGCAAGTCCATTAAAATATGTACCAAATGCATAACATATGACAATTTTAACTTTATGCATTCACAAAAATAAAACAGAACATAAATTGACACATCATCCCTATTTTTGTCTTCTATAATGTAACTGCTTTATAAAAATAAGCAAAGAAAAAATAATTCATTAGTATCAGGCAATTTGCCTACACCGAAAAAAATAAACCATGCAAATGATGTTGCTTATTGTTTTAAAAGCCCCAGAGATTATGAAACACTGAATTAGGAATTAAGTTTTTAGACTAATTATTTAGGTTCTGATCAAGTCTAGAAACTCTGTGGTTTTAAATAAAATACTCCAGAGAATGGCAGATTTAGCAGTTCTGGGCACTTGTTAACACTTCTTAGCTGTATACATTTGTAGAAGAATCATGATTATTCAGGGAAGCAAGATCATCATCATCATCTTCATATCACATGTAAATTGTTTCTCACAAAGAACTTTTGGGTTTTATACACATATGCTGCAATGGTTTTATCTACAATTATCTCGGAAGCAAATCTTACAGATCTTGGATCCTCAATGATTCTTTAATATTACTGCTAATTATCTCAAGTCTTCCAATTCTCTGTACATTTTAAATAGGCTAATTGATTTAGTCAATTGTTTGAGTTACCATGCACTCTGCCCCTCCACTGTCTTCGCACTACTGAGGTTAAGAAACCACAACTGAAGCCCAAACAATTCCATAAAATATATATATATATATATATATATATATATATATATATATATATATATATATATATATATATATATATATATATATATATATATATATCCCTTACATTAAAAAAAATAAAGATTAAAAAAGCGTTCCATGTTCCATCACTGCCCCATATTATCCTGTAATTCCAAATTAATTTCACGTACCTGAAACCCAGTATGGAGAAAAGGTTTTATAATTAAAATCTCCATCTAAATACTCATCCAGTGTAAGTGGTCTGGGATTATTTTGTTTGTGTTCATCTTCAGAAACGAGACAAAGACGATAGATTAACAACAGTTCACACAATACAGAGAAATTGCACCTAGAATGCTATATTTTTTTTTTGCTTTTTGAATTGATAGCAATTTCAGGTTCATGGAGGTTATAGTTAAAAATAAATCAAGTAGGAAAAGTATGTAAGATAGAAATGATGCAAGATGTGCGATCCTCAACTCATTTGAAAAATAAGCCTAATTGTTTGAGGGCCACTTATCTTTGATTGGTTTTGCTCAGTAAGATTGGGCAGAATGTATATGCTCTAAGTTGCCTCAATTAAATAATGTCTTTTATCAGAACCTAGGAAGCATGAAGCCTCTCTTATTATACCTTCCCTATGGAATAGCATTCTGCTAGTAGTCTGCTTGGATTTAGCTTCAAAAATCCCTGGAAGGTTGGCTGGCCACCCAAACCTTGGGGCAGAGTGGTGCTGAGTCCCTTCTTGGTACAGTACATATACTTTTCTGTTCTGGATGTCCATGATCTATTTTTTAAAATTATATTGTTTTCTTATTTTTAAAGGGTAAGCTACTCAGAGATGTTTGGAGTCCAGCAGACTTTAAATTATTTCTGGAATGCTATTTCTGTAAGTTGAATAATGTTGAATACTTAATGTTAAAAAATGCATTTCCAACATTTGGTAAAGATGATTTTTAGCATGTGAATGGCAATCACTCAAGGCTAATAGCATGAAACTTTTACAATGTGCACACCTCTAGCAACATGAAACTTTGGCTCGTGCATTTCAAATAGTGGAGAAATGCATGTATTATGGACCTCAAGAAAGGTACCCTGAGATTCACATATGTGTTAACATCAGCAGTCAATAGATTCCAGGTGTTCAAAATATTATGGGAAAATCATGACATTATTTTGGCATGGATGACTATTAGAAAGCCAGATGGAATTCCATTTTTGTTTTTCTTTGCGGAATACTTTTGCTATACTGTAAATATATATAAGAAGAACGAGGAAAGTCACTAATGAACAGTACAGTTGAATAGCCAGAAATCCAGTACTTGCAATTCTTGTAGTTTGACCATGATTGTCCTTGGTTGTACTGTATATATTGTTGTATTTAACTAATACAAACTACCGTCTATCGATACGAAACCCCAAGGAGTAAAAGTGAAAAAATGTTTTTGGTGCTCAGTAAAAGTATTTCACCGTTTGAGAACACTCCCAACCCCCACCCACTCTCACTTCCTATTTGTAACCTGTCGTTGGGAGATTGGATTTCAAAGTCTTTCTACGGACAAATTGAACTTTAATTGGTCCGATTTATGTGTTAGCAGTAATTCACCGAGAACACCAAGAAACGGTTCTATTAAGAAATAGATTCTAGGGAACGGATTCTGAAATTTTCACAATTTCCTGCAATAAATCATGTAATCTGTTGCATCAGCCATTTCACCAGGAGCTCGGGAAGGAAAACAGACACAAACTAGACTCTGCATTCTCTTTCAATAGTCATGTGAGCCAGTCTTTCTATTATAATCACAGGGTCACTTGCTAATACATGTTATTATCCTTAAGCTCTGAATAATTTATTGACCTGCATAAATTACTGTTACATGCTTATTTGTGGAAACTTCTGTTCTTTGCCTCTCATGTGACTGATGATTCAGAAAGCTTAAGGAATTTCATCATGTTTATAAAAAAAAACCAGTGGTTCGGAAGACAAAGCATAAAGGGACTGTGTACAATTTGATGCAACAGTACCATACATGGATGGTGCAACTGCACGGATAAACACAGGCACATCCATCATGCTGTTTCTTTTCATTATGCAGAGCTTGGAGAAGGAGTAAGAAATAGCCAGGAGTAAGAAATTAAAGGCATGGTATAAGAAAAAGAACATGAAATATAATTTAAACTAGTTTACACCAAATACATTTCATAATTTGTACTTCTCCAATCTTTTCTGTCCTTGCAAACTCTTACTGATTTCCCTCACCTTCATACACGGTTTCACACGTTGCCTTTAAACGTCTCACCTTTCTATTTTTTTAAGACCTCATCATCTCTCATATTATATTATATGTCATATAATATATGTGGGTATTATGCATAATTCTGTATTTATTTATTTATTTATTTTTATTCTATTTATGTGTGTATATAGATGGTGGTGTCCCTTTGAGAGCTGAATGCAATGAAATTTCATTTTGATGTATGCCGATTAGTGTACTTTCAAAGTGACAACACAGTTATTATTCTATTCTATTATTCTATTCAACCATGACTTCCCGTTTTCCTCTTCTCCTCAATCCGTTCATTCTTCCTTCACATATCTGTTTTATAATTTGATCAAATATGAACAATTTTGTTGTATAATTTAAAACAAATTTGTTTTAATATAAAACAAATTTGAACAATCATCAAATTATAAAACAAATGTACTCAAACAAAAACAAATATGACAATCAATCAAATATGACCAATCACCTCAAATGTTCTTAAACAAAAACAAATATGACCAAGCACCTCAACTTATTTGTTTTGTTCTAATCACTCCTGAATTTATTCATATTCATCCATGCATCACCAATTTATGCTTGACACTGCTTTTTCTTATTTTACACACACACTTCTTCAATTTCCCATTTCCATGGCTTTTAACTTACTTTTATGTTTCTCCTAGCAAACCTGAGTCTCACTTCTATATAAAAAGGCAGTAGAAGCACATTATTATGTATAGCTAATTTTGCTTCTTTTGAAAAGGATTCAGTTCTTATTCATTTCCCCATCTTTAATAAAAAAAATTCACCCAACATTTTCTGGCATGCTGTAATATTATTCTTTTCACTAAGTTCCAAAGCAGCTTTTAATATCCTTCTTTTCTGTATCCACTTCCCATTTGTTCTATTGGAAAATTTATCTTCCCCTATACTTTTGTCATACAGAACTCATACTTTCTATTCCAGTGTGGTTTTACTTCAATTTATTTTATTTTCTCCCATGTCAATTTCCCATAAAATCCACTCCAAAAATGTCTAGATTCTTTACCAGTCACCATTCTGGTATCTTTATTTGAATTTCTCAAATTTTCATAATAAACAACCAAATCAATAATCCTTTAGAGTTATAGTCATTTCTTTGAATTAACTGATGCTTGTATCAATATTCAAAACAATTTTTTTCTGAACAAATACTCACCAAAGAGCCATTGTTCTCATAAATTCTTGGGTCCCTAAATGATTCAATAACTTTTCTGTTCTCTCTATTCTTTCTCCCATTGATATTTCATATCACCTAGCAATGTTTCATCTATGGACATGTTGATTCTGAACACTGCACAATTTCTCCCAGAATTCATCTTTGATTCTTTCATTCGTGGAGCATAACATGCAATTACTGCCAACCTATAGATTTATCCTTTCATATCCACTCTCAACAACCTTGAGAACACCAGTTCATATATTCTGACATATATCTGAGCTTTTTCTTTCATAATGAAACCTGTACCTTCACTTCCTCACATGCACTCATCAACTTCACTCCAAAGGACCAAAGATCCTAGTTTAGCTCTGCACAACCTTCCTTTTCCCTTTAGTTTTGCAGATACGAAACAAATCTATGTTTTTTGGTATGGTGGCACAGTGGTTAGAATGCAGTATTGCAGGCTAACGTACTGCTCACTGCCAGGAGTTTGATCCTGACCAGCTCAAGGTTAACTAAGCCTTCCATCCTTCCGAAATCAGTAAAATCGGGACCCAAATTGTTGGGAACAATATGCTGACTCTGTAAACTGCTTAGAGAGGGCTGTAAAGCACTGTGAAGCAATATATAAGTCTAAGTGCTATTGCTATGTTTTCCATTTTGTTTGTTAATGCATGCTATTTAGTGCACTTCCATTCGGTAACAATCTTCCATATGCCATGCTCAGCACCAGTTGAGTCCATCAGCTGTATCCTCCAGGTGCCTATCATGACTTTGTCATTCAAGGTTTTCACATAATATTTTTATTACCAGCCCTAGCAGTCCAACATAGCTTCTCTAGCTTAATGGCAAGGACAATGCCAGTCAGTTTGGACACATCAGTGCACAATTTGGCCAAAAGAGTAACTAAAGCCCTGACTTATCCTAAGCAGGCTCAAGCTGTTTTATACTTTTTCTCAATCAAAAGACTATACTGTAAGCCAATATACTGTTACCTGCATCTCCCATATAAGAAGGATATGCAGTGTATTGGTATACCTTAGGAGAAACATGGAAAACAAATTGCCAGCACTTTTGGGTTAGTAAACACTATCACCTCTTGAAGGAGCTCCATTCTAGCCTATCCTTGAAAACTCAACATGAGTACTAAGCCTTAAGGGCAGGAACCCACCTCAACCAGAGGTTCTTTAACTCTACCCAAGATGCAGTGAAGAAAGAGGAATCTGTAGCTTCTTGTGGTTCTTCCATGCAAGGAAAGCACAGGTCAGCTCACGGCTGCACACTGACACTTCCTCTAGACCAGATGCAACGTGGAATGAACAGTGATTCCTCCCCTCCCAGTTTTGTGAACTCTCTTCTCCTGCTCTGATTTCTTCCTACAAAAGTACGATTCAAATGTAAAAGGTATTGATCACGGGCAAATTCCACTTGAATTTGCACTGTCATATGCTGCAAATCTAAGAAGTTGTTTGTGGCAAAGCTCATTAGATCCTTGATTAATATTCTGCCTTTATATCATGAAGCAACTGCAACTACCAACAACTATTAGAAATCAGGGGTATTCCTGGATGAATAAGGTTTTAAAAAAAGCCAAGATGGCAATCATGATTACACAATAAAAACTCTGCCCCCTTTTTAACATGCACTGCATGTGTGATGTCTGTAAAAAGGACATGTGTGGCTTTGGCCACGATCTTGACTTTGTGACAGCCCCCCCCCACTCTGGAGCACTTGTTACTGGTGCCTGTTGTATTATTTGTACTTTGAAAGAATATTATTCTCTTTTTGAATTAAATTAAGGCTTAATCCCAAATATAACATAAGGTTACCTAAAGAGAAGAAGGTATCCATAATTCCACTTAATATAGATCTAAACTTCTCCTACAGCCTCTCTACTCTCTACAATCACTTTTAACTATTAGCTCTTCACACCTTTCTGGTTTAATGACTGTTGCCCTTTGCAATATAAAAGCATCTTAAATTTAACAGGTGTGTGAGCATATCTATGCTTTTGTAAATGATAAGGCTTGGATTCTTCCTCCTCAAATAAATAACTATTAGTTACTATAGAATAAACATGTCACTTCCATTGTTGACACAGCTCCTCACCAGCACTAATGCAGAAGAAAACTGTCAAGACAAATAAACACAAAAGGGAATTTAGATACCCAAATATCACTATCATATCAAAACAGATGTGCTGCACCTCACAAGAACCGGGAAGAATATATTTGGAAAACGACAGGCTCAACTTATCAGAAGGGCTTTAAACTAAAATTGGGGGGGGGGGACCAATCTTTAGGACCTAATTCCAAGCAAAAAACCCTAGGCAACCAATGAAACTAGGAGGTAGGGAGTGAAGGGAAGGGAGGGAAGAAAAATTCAGACGCAAAGTAGGAGATGTAGGAAGATCAGCCATAAAGTACTCAGATGCCTGTACACTAATGCTCAAAATTTAGGGAACAAACAGGGTGAACTTGAAATACTACTACACAAGGGCAGGTGTGATATAGTTGCCAATCCTGAAACTTGGTGGGATGAAACCCATGACTAGAATGTACTGACAGAAGGATATAAACCATTCAAAAGAAACAGACCTAACCCAACCTTGAGCCGGTGAGAATCGAACTGCCAAACTGCTGGCAGCCGGCAGTCAGCAGAAGTAGCCTGCAGTACTGCATTCTAACCACTGCGACACCACAAGTCCTAAAACCACTGATGAGATTCAGTTATTTTTGGTTCCAGCCACTACGGGACTGAAATATTGGTATTTTAGAACTGTCTGCAATTAACAAAAAGAGACTGCACGCACAATTGTTAACACTTAAATACTTCTTAGCTCACTTCCAGCAATGAAATATGTAGTGAGTTGGCAGATAGGCTTTGCGTGCCTGCCAAAGGTTCCAGATTCCAGAATCACCACTTAAGAGTTTCACCCATGGAACCTCTTGGAAATGAGAAAAGATGAATCAGAATCTGCTAGAACTGTTCAAAGTAGCACTTAATGCTTCTTCCCAGACAACATTAATTTGGGTCAAACAGATACCGGCACAGCTGAGGAGGTTTAAGATCTGTATATTATATATAAATATAGAACTACTAGAAGAGGTTTTTTCCCCCTGCTAAATATACTGCTTATACCAATATAGCAAATTTTAAATAATAGCCTAATGAAAAATGCAGCTGTATATGGGTGGGTATGCACATGCATACTTCCTTAGTAAGTGGTTTTAATTTTCATTTTTTAAGGCTGAGAAATGAACTTCATAGGAGAAATGAACTGTTTTCTGAACTTTTTTTTAAAGAGGAATGATCTCAGTTACCCAATGATTTGACTCAACTCTGCAAGAGGAAGGCAACCTGAGGTGTATGTGAAGTAAAAAGTTGGGTAAGAAAAATGAGCCATATTAAAACTTTAGTACTTGCATATTACAGGGAGTTCTCAACTTGCAATCATTAGTTTAGTGACCGTTCGAAGTTACAATGGCACTGGAAAAGTGACTTTATGACCATTTTTCACTTACAACCGTTGCAGCATCCCCCACGGTTAAGCGTTCAAAATTCAGATGCTTGGCAACTGGCAGGTATTTATGACGGTTTTAGTGTCTCAGGGTCACCTTCGCACCTTTGGATCATTTTCTGACAAGTGAAGTCAATGGGACAGCCATGTTAACTTGACAACCATGTTACTAACTTAACAGCTGCAGTGATTCAGTTAATTTAACTTAAACTTTAACAACTGTGGAAGGTCATAAAATAGGGCAAAAATCACTTAGCAGCTGTTTTGTTTAGCAACAGAAATTTGGGGCTCAGTTACGGTTGTAAGTCAAGGACTAGCTGTGTAACATATCTTACTGTGCCCAACAGAAAACAGTGCACGAGACAAGGTTGTTTAATATAGAGTTTGCAACTCGACTGAAAAACCTTGGCTTCCAGGCACTGCAAAGTTAATGCAGGCAACTATATCATTTGATAAGATCCCATGCATTGATACCTCCAAACATTGCTTTTTTACTTGGATTAGGACATATCTGTCCAGTATTTCTAAATGTTATCAGTTGTAATTTTGAAGAGTTACAAACATCTGCATAAATATCACTAAGTACAGTAGATTAAAGGGGGGAAAATGAGGCTGTGTGTGCACAAATGCTGTCCAAATTAGGGTGTTGGTAAGATAGGCTATCATGCACACATCCTAAATTCCATCAAAAAAAATTATCTGCAAATACTTCCAATGATGCAAAATGAAGGAAATATTTCTCTCCCCACCCCTCCCCTCCAAAGTTAACATACCTTTTGCAGGAATTAACACAATGCACAGAATTAATAAAGAGAGCAAAAGACAGGAGAGCACTCCAACTAGGATTTTCATCTGAACCTGCAGGAAAAAAAAAGCCCAAATTTTCACATCATTCCTTCCTTCCTTCCTCCCAAGTTACAGCATTTCTGCAACAATTTTAGTTAAGTCCTGCCAACTACACAAATCTTGAAGTTTGCTTTCAACTTTTATCCATTTCTTTCTTTCCTTGCTTGAGCGTGCTTATGCATCAAGCATTTCTCCGCAGTGGAGCACCAGACACAATTTAAATGGTCCAGATTCCGATACTCAAGTTTTCCTTTTGTTTTACAGACCTTCATGCTTCTCGTTGTCTTAAAAAGTCCTAGCGCTTCTTGCTCTTCTGAATGTTGGTCACTAACTTTTCCAAAGCAGTTTGAAAAGCAGCTGCAGCTGCAGGCCAAATATGAGACTCAAGTTTTTTTTTTTAAAAAATGTGTTCTAATAAGCTATGCCAAATTTCAAAGGTTTTCCGTACAATTGGAAACAGATTTTTAAGGGCGTTCTAAACCCGACAATGAACTGCGGGTGGCTGCAAAGGGTTTGTGTCATAACTCAAACCTGCTTACACAAAGATTTACTGAATTTTATGACTCAGCAACACAGTTAGCATGTGCTATTTACAGCATGTTTTGGAAATATGGAAGATAAGATTTAAATTAAGATCCATTCATAGTACAATGACAAAGAAAATCCCTTTTATCTGTTGACTTATAAAAGTACAGTGGAATATGTCTCGGTGACTGCATGTAGAAACTTAGTATTTATAATTTGGGAAGAGAGTCACTGGCTTCTCCAGAAAAAAGGATCAAGTAGCTGATAAGAAAAACTTTTATTTATTTATTTATTTATTTTGCTGTGATTCCAGGAAAGCGTCTGGCATTTATTAAAAAAAAAACATTACATTAAAGAACAAAAATTTTACCAATGTATTCCAAAATATTATGATTCCAGTTTTTGTCCAACACTTTTAAGCTCACCACTGCATATTGGAGAAGGCACACCGAGGTGTGTATCAGACAGAAGGCATGCATTTAATTAAAAAAACCTTACTCGAAGGTAAGATCTATTGATCATAATGAGATACTCTTCTAAGAAAACATGCTAAATGAGTACATAAATAAGAAAAAAATCCCATTTAATATATTAAGGATGAAGGACATGAGAGAAAATTAAAGTTAAATCCTAGGATATAAAGAATTACAGTATTGTACTGCAAAAGAAAGTAATTTCCCTTTTTGCACAGACCCTAAATATAATATTCAGTTTTGTTGATGTCAAATTTCATTTGGGCTGCAATCGATTTGCATATTTCTGGGAACAAATCCAGAGGAACTCAATGATATCTACTTTTAAACAAGGATGTTTAAGATTACACTGTTGGTTCCTCTTAGAATCAGCCTTAATGGCAATCTTTCAATTTCCTAAATCTGGGACTGATGAGACCATTGAAATGTGAGTAAAATGGATACACCCAGCATACAGAGTAAATTTGAGCCACCTCCTCTTTCACAGGATTTATTCTTTTCCAATCACACTTTCAAGTAAGAGTTTTGTCCAATCTGGTGCATATCAGATACCATGGCACTAAAACTCCAAGAATTTCCAGCCAGGTTATCAGCTGGGAACGATCAGAGCACTGACTTATGTGAAGCTAGGCCCCAAGCTCATTAGGGGCTATTTTCTTACATAATGCTAAGCCCCCCAAAATATAGTCCACACAGATATTATATATTATGCACCCAGGGAAATACAAATATGTAGAGTATGATTTCTAAAACTTATACCAACAAGTATTGCAAATCAGTTGGGGTACGAAGAAAGGAGAAATCAGAAATTTAAAAATATAATAATAATAATAACAAACAACAAACAACAAACAAACAAACAAACAAACAAACAAACAACAACAACAACAACAACAACAACAACAACAACAACAATAATAATAATAATAATAATAATAATAATAATAATAATAATAATAATAATAATGTTGGAAGGGACCTTGGAGGTCAGCTAGTCCAACCCTCTGCTCAGAAAGGAAACCCTATACCATTTCAGACAAATGGCTGTCCAGTCTCTTCTTAAAAACTTCCAGTGTTGGAGCATTCACAGCTTCTGGAGGTAGGTCGTTCCACTGATTAATTGTTCTAACTGTCAGGAAATTTCTCCTTAGTTCTAGCTTGCTTCTTTCTTTGGTTAGTTTACATAGTTTCCTTCTTGTCCTGCCTTCAGGTGCCTTGGAGAATAGCTTGACTCCCTCTTCTTTGTGGCAACCCCTGAGATATTGGAACACTGCTATCATGTCCCCCCTCGTCCTTCTCTTCGTTAAACTAGACATACCCAATTCCAGCAACTGTTCCTTATATGTTTTAGCCTCCAGTCCTCTGATCATCTTTGCTGGTCTTCTCTGTACTTTTTCTAGATCTTTTTCACATCGTGGTGACCAAAACTGGATGCAGTATTCCAAGTGTGGCCTTACCAAGGTATTGTAAAGTGGTATTAACACTACACGTGATCTTGATTCTATCCCTCTGTTAATGCAGCCTAGCAGTGTGTTGGCTTTTTTGCAGCTGCAGCACACTGCTGGCTCATATTTAAGTGATTTTCCACTAGGACTCCGAGATCCCTCTCAAGGTTACTACTATTAAGCAAGGTACCACTCTAAACTCACCTAGCTACATCCCTGTGGTTGGGAAACTGGAGTTAAAGGGCTTTCATAAGGGATTCAGTCTGAGAATATGGAATCTAGAGCAATCTTTTTTTAGTGGTTCCCGAGACTTGAACAACTGCATGGATTTACAATAGGTTATAGTTCATTTCCTCCCCAAGATAGTTTGACAAGGTAAGTTTACCTTAACTCAGGGGTCCCCAACCGTGGTCTGTGGACCGGCACTGGGCCGCGGCACGCCAGAAACCAGTCTGTGCCAACAAGCAAAGCCCCATCCGTGGGATGCAGGCAGTACATGAAACCACGCCCCCTCCAGTCCACAAAAAAACCCTCTCTCCACGGAACCGGTCCCTGGTGCTCAAAAGGTTGGGGACCTCTGCCTTAACTGTTGATATTATATATTACTGAAAACATTGCAGGTGCATATGCACGGAGTTCACTGTGTACATGGACTGAAATAAACAAATAATCTTGCATTGAAATGCTCCACCTACCATTTTGCTGATTTTGACCTCCCTGAACCTGCTCCATTGCAGGCTTAACAGAAATAAACAACTAAGAACCAAATTTAAATATGGCATAATTTGTGTTCCAGAGTGTTCTGGCTTATGGTAATGGATATGCTCACCTCCATTGTCTTGGCTTTCTGCTTCTTTATCCTCTTTGCTAGGTGGTAAGTGATGCTTCCCAAAAATCCAACAGTGGCCAGTTTACTGCTGAGTAGAGGTAGCGCAAGACATTTTTCTCAGTTGCTAGAGTCTAAAATGAAATAAAATGGAACCTGAGATCACAAAGCTCAAAAAGATGTAGCAACACAGGGACTATTGTCCGCTGCATATTCAACATGAACATTTGCTGTTGAAAGAGATGACTTTTTACACATGTTCTAAATCAGGGCTCCCGAACCCCCAGTTCATGGACCAGCACTGGTCCATAGCATGCCAGCAACCAGTCCAGACAAACAAGCAAAGCCCCATCCAAAAGATGCAGGTAGCACATGAAAACCATGCTCTCTCTGGTCTGCAGAAAGATCTCTCTCCACGGAACCGGTCGCTGGTGCCCAAAAGGTTGGGGGGCGCTGTTCTAAATGATAAGAAAATGGGAGGAATGGCTCCCAAGGAAGAGCATTCCCTAGTCTGCTGCAAGAATAAGGCCAGAAGTTAGCTTGGAGACATTCATGCCCATTACAGAGGACGTGATTCTTGAAGGGACAGTCCTAGAACTTTTCTACACTGCAGCCTTAAATGGTTTCACTTCTCTCTGCATAAACTGACTGGGAGTGAAGCCAGCTTGAGAAATTGTGTCCAGATTTCCACCACTTCCTTTGTTTTGGATACAGAAATGGCGTAATGTTCTGTCCGGACCATGTCTACCACAACCGTAATTGGTGAACTCTCCTGCTTCTTTATCTTTCCAAGACTGGAGAAGAAAAGGAAAGGAAAAGAGATAAAGACAGAAAAACTAACTTTTAACCATTTTTCCTGTCACTTGGGCTAGAAGAGAAAGTAGCAGATCCCTTGCCAACTTTAGCTGATCTTTTTAAAAAAAAAAGATCTATGGTTTATCTGTTTGATAGCAGGAAAAGAACAAAGCCCAGCTTTTCACCATTCCCTTAAAGAACCTGTAATAGTATGTGGTAGGGAGCAAAGACCAGCAATTGGGAGGTTGTCTTGCCACCACAGTGCACAACAGTATCTGGAGTGGCCTGCCATGAAATGAGGCATTATGAGCAACACATTTAGTTCAATTATCCTTAAGTTGGAATGTACTACTTTAGATTTGTAGCAGGAAAAGACAGGTGGAGGTTGCCTTCTGGGGGCAGGGAAAGGATAATATCATGCATGACTCAAGAAGTGAACAATGGCTAATACTAAAGCTGGTTGAGTTTGTCATGTCGATCAGCTCTTAGAGTCAAGCCTCCCATGACATGGATCCTGGGTTAATCCAAGACACTCACAAGATCCCCCTGACTAGTACAAGAGATATTGTTAAGCAGTAGATTAACAGTATATTTCAGCTAGCATGCCATATGATCACACTGTTTATTAATAAAGGTAACCTCTGTATTAATTATCTTATCCAGCAACTAGAAGCCAGCTACATTCATGCCACTAAACTGGTTTCTGCCAATCTTTCTATATGGTAGACAATCCTGTTATTATCTAATACAAGTGGATTTTATAATAATAATAATAATAATAATAATAATAATAATAATAATAATAATAATAATAATAATAATAATAATAATAATAATAATAATAAAATAAATTGGAAGGGACCTTGAAGGTCATCTAGTCCTGCTCAGGCAGGAATTTAAAGAATGCAATGAGTGCCCTGATCCAATGTTGCCAAGACAATAATTGAGGAACAATCCTCAAAAACATTTGATAATGATCTTGTCTAAAAGATTCACAACCCTTAGCTGGTCTATCAACAACTGCACAATTGAGTAAGTTAGCATCTTCAAATACTTTGCCAAAGCCAATGAGAGGAGGGCTACCTGTGCAATTTGGCAAAGGAGTACCTTGACCATTCTGCAATTCCATCATACAAAGGAAACCTTTGTATCTATGCCTCCATCAAACTTTTTCAGGGACTTGGTACCATAGCCAAGGATTCAGACTCTTACTCTAAAGAAGCCGCTTCACTGAATCTGTGGCATGCCAGCCTCAG